CACTTGCTTAGACTGTGACATGACATGCAATGGAGAAAAAGAGCACATCGTGACGACTCTTTGTAGGATGGAAAAGCTGAGAGTAGGACATGCTTTCCTGTGAAAAGTGACAAAGTAATATATAGCACTAGTGAGCTGAATACACTTATTTCTCTGCTCTCTGTGCTGTCCTTGCAAGCAGCACACATTAGAAATACGTTTAAAATCACAATTTCCTTTCTGTTTCCTTCCTCTTGCTAAGATGATGCTGTATACAGTTCCATATAGCTCAACAGCCTACTACAGCGCTCTCAGTCCTGGCTCGGCTTCAGCACACTGTGGGCATTGGCAGGGACATGTTTACATGTAGGCGTTCTTTCATGCCCATATACCATGTGTGAAGAGTGCACTGAGGATAAGAACACTCATGTCATACTCAAATTTACCTCTTAAATGTACTTTATAGGGGATTAAATATTATCTATGAACAATACATGCATATATGTACTTACACATAAAAAGAGAAAAAAACTAAATATGTGAAAGTATTATGCAGAGCATATGAAGAATATACTATAACCAATACCTCATTTACTTGGAACTATGATTTGAGTAAATAAGGATACCTCTGTGCTGCTCCAGGTTTAGCACTTAGGTGGTCTACACTGTCCTGTTTTGGAATGCAAGACTCCAGCGTCCTTGTTCTTCACAAAATTTGGAAACATGGATGTGAATTTGGACAGAATGAGCAGAAACAGAGAGATGGTCACATGCAGTGAAGGTGGAGACATGCAGTCAAATATATAAACCAAAAGCTTTAGGGCACTATCTGCTGAGAAAGGCTATATTTCTCATTTCCCCTTCTGTTGATTTAATCCATACACTTGAAGGAAATGTTAAAATTTTTAGACATAATATCAATATTCTAAGATGCAATAAAGAATGAAACCCACAACAATATTTTTAAAAACCTTTATACTCTACATGCTGAATGGCAGTACTGTGGCTTAATAGTTGCCATTATCCTTCTTGAGAATTAATCTACACTATTGTTCATTAGATTAATATATAAACCTATACAGAACATCTTCCCTTAGGAATTTGAAAAATGCGTATTTTGTCCTTATATTGTGAAATTCTCCTGAAAATGCAAGTTAATTTCATAATTTCATGTATTTTGACAAAAACTTCATATTCTGTTGCCAGCCTCTCTGCTACAGTAATAATTAACAACAATTCAATAGCAAAGTAGAATAACTGACTCAGCTTTTTAAAAAAAATTCAAATAAAGTTCAGAATATTTCTTAATTTCTATATTATGTTCATTTCTGCTGAAGCTTTTTAAGAACCTCGGAATCTGTTCAGAGCTTTCAATTTGGCATAAACATTATTAGCTTGTCAGTTTATTATTAGTTTTTTATGGAATATATGGTAAAAACATTTTTTTTCTTCATAAGGTGCATCAATGTAAGTTTTTTTCAAATATCAAATTTGGCTTTTAATGAGAAAACTCAGCACAATTTGCAGTCCACTAATAACCTAGGGTACATAATAAATTTGCATATATACCTCCATTATGGTGAGGAAATGCTAAAATTTCTCTTTAAGGTCATAAATCTACCATCACACCAAATCACTGATCAATGAGGCCTTGTTATGTATATAGACAAGCACTATATATTATTTTATATACAGACAAGCTATTCGCAGTTCATGTTCCAAAGACTCATGTGCCTCAAAATATTTATCACTGTTGAGTGTAAACAAAATCTACACACAGAAGTATGCTAATATTCCTATCAAAATTAAAAATTACTATTCCTAAGGTGACAAAATAACATTTTTATAAAATTCAGTGTCTAACATTTAGAATGATTTATTACTGGCTTGTACAAGAGACCTCAATGGTTTGCAGTGAGTCTGTTCATTTAGATAGCCTTAAACCCATCAAGAACGTCACGTTCAATACTTCCTGATTTTTCCTGAAGATTTCTGAAAGGCTGGATCTACATGGTATGTGAGCTGGGAGGTCACAACTACTCTGAAGGCTTGGTAGCTCCTCACACTCATTCCTAGCACTTCAATTCGTCTTGCAAAACTGCCTCCCTGATCAATTCACATAGTGTTGCTGGAAAGACAGGAAAGGATCACCCAGGCCAGTCTGCAACTGACAGTGCGTGGCACACCTCAAGTTCTCTTCGTGAAAGTACCAGAAGTGTACTTGCTCTACAGGTGGCCTCAGGATGACTCTTGGACAAGCATTCTTACAGAAGCATGCATGACTGCCAAAAACTACTTCTCTTAACAGAAAGTATATGAAAATTAATTTTTTAAAAGGCTTATTTTATCCAGTCTTGGTTATACGCTGAAATTATATGCAGACTTCTCAAAAAGAACAGTCTGAATAAAATTCCCACCTACCATTAAATGCTCAACTTTCATTCTCCTTGTTTTTATCATCACTTACAATTTCACAATTTTGCAGTTCTCCAGTTACCAGAAAGTCTTTCACTTTAGACAGACTTTCTAATACTCATTTCTAATATAGAAACCAAAAAACCTCCCAGCAATGATGCTATCAATCAAATTCAAACCAAAAACTATTCTTTAAAATGTCTTAAAGAAATACATGATACTAACCAAACACTTGTTAATTCTTAACACTGAAATAACATACAAGCCATGTCTTCATCTTGTCTAGGTACATCAAGGAGTCACTTTTTCTGATATGGCAAGTGAACAAATTCCAGAATAACAACAATCTTGCCAAGACCTTTACTAAAATTTATGTTATGAATCATTATCAATAAACACAATGTTGCAAAAATGGAATTTAAATGATCAAAATTAGAAATAATGCATAAGTCATATGTTTAAGAAATGTATTCAGAAATAGATCTTCTTGATTGCACCTTATATGCAAATTGGGCCAATTTGTAAGATAAATCTGGAATGTACTCAAATGAAGAGTAAGATGACATCGGTCAAAGTCAATTAATCTGTGAATATATGATTTGAAAGCAGTGATAAGCAGTTAGTTAATTACCCCTGCTGATCCATCAGACACTCATTCCCTGACACCGCTGCATCAGTTGTCAAATTGATACAAGCACATCTTAAAAAACCCATAAATTATAGAACTGAGTGGTGTTGGCCAACCGCCAAAGCTATGGGAAATAATCAGAATGAATGCAAACTTAAAGAGTAGAAAACAAAGGTAAAGCACCTGTGATTCCCTCACTGATACTCTCTCTACACACAAGGTGGGCTATTATTTTGTATAGGGCATGCAATGCAAAAAGCCTAGTGTTCTCCTAACTTCTCTTAATCTGGAACTGGGAGGCTGCAGTCATCAGGATTGGGGTTAGCCTAAACTCCTTCTTGGTGCATCACTGACTGCATCACTGGGATTTGGTGACCAGATTACCTGCAAGACTTCCAAGCACAAGAAGGCACTGATTTCACTAAGAAAATTAGACTGCTGTTTCTCCAACTCAAAATCTTTGCCAGAATAGATTCTATATCCTACACATGTGTTACTGTAATACATTTGCTAAGAGGTATTAGATGATTTCAGTCTTTGTCCACAAAACTTTGGCTGACACCAAAAGGCTTACAATTCTGCATTAAGGATGGCAGTATTTAGATGAAAATCTCATTTCACTGATATGTGATATGATTATGATTTAATTCTAATCACTTCAATGACAACAAGATTTTATCAAGTCTGATCCACTGAAGTCAAAGACAGTCTTTCCATCGACTTGAAAAATGGGAAGCAAAATTAGTTAAAAATGCCTAAAAGGTACAAAGTACATTTGTAAACTATTAATAGCTGTCCCATCAAAGGGATGTGTTGGCAAAATTTCTAGAAATGCAGTATCTGTAAGGAGGGACAATTTTGAAATAATGTTTCACAAATTCAATTTTATAATTTATAATGCTGATTTACTCAAATAAAAAAAGAAATGCTATCCAAACAGAATTTCACTCTTCCCACCTTGTATTAGTGGAATACATCCAGTATCAAGCAAACATGACAAATGACAGTACAAATATAAGTACTGTGGACAGACTTCAGCAGAAGATAAGCACTAGCATTACAGTAACGGAGGTTTATCCAGATACCAGTCTTCCAGTCTTAAGTGCAACTTCATAAGAGTTCACACATGTATGGATTATTTACATGAACCATCGTATCCTGTCATTTACTGTAACACAAAAAATTTGAAGGGAAAATTTTGAATTTGCATCTCAATAGAAATTATAATGTCTGCTTAAAAAAAACCCAGATCTGGAAAAAAAATACCAAAAAAATGACTACTGCCAAAGCAATGGAATACCAAAACTTATTTGAGCAGAAAGTTCAAAAAACAAAGGTCCTTCTATTAATCATAGGTGGTATTCAGCATAAAAATTTATTTAAACCACTGGTGTTTTTAACCAAAACCTACCTTGTTAGGAAAACCTGCTCCACGGAGACCATCCTGATTTAGGACAGAATTTATGAACAGTGCCAATTTTTACATACATCAACTAGTACGGGTTACCATGACTTCCAGCATATCAGTTTGTGCGGTTTTTTTTCCCCTTAGGAACAGTTTGTTAAAAAAGGGGAAAAAAACCAATAAAAATAAAAATAAACACCTAGACAAGAACAGGCTCTACAACAAATATTTCTCATATTATAAAGCACCACAGTGAAAACACCACCAACATTTACAGAAGCAGGTAAAAACAGACTAAAGAACATTAACACAGATGATGTTTTGTTGTATTAGACATCTCACTTCATGGCTTGTGACCATTCAGGCAAACAGAAAATTTGAAAAGACATTAATTCCTAGGTGCTTTATAACAGTTCAACAAAATGCAGAGATGATATATAAGCTGCTGTTTTATTTTGGGCTTCTGGAGGTTGTCTCTTGCTACATATATGCATACTTTTAAATTTCAGTATACTCCTCTGAGAGTGCAAGATGCAGTAAGCCACTTTTCAACTGGGAGGAGTTGACTAGTACCTGTCATCCTCCGGAGATGCATGCTGGATATGAATCCTGGGACTAGTAGGTCGTCTCCTCTCTAGGGAGGGGGACCATCTACCCCTGTTTGCCCGTTCAATAAAACAGGAAAAAAATAGGATATTTAGTTTGTGATAAAATTAAATATATGGGATTTGGGACTGGAAAAATACCCCAAAAAGTAATGAAAGTGTGTAATTTAATTATTTTTTCTAGCAGTCTTCTAATTCCCAAGTATACTATTCTTACGGCTGCTTACTGCAGAAACATTACAGCTGAAACAAATTCTGCCTAAAGATACAGAATTTAGACCAATATAAATCTTTTACATAGTGTACCATTAAGTTTTCAAATATTCTCAAATGCTGGACTATCTAAAAGCCTGTCATTTGCATAGAAAGTTGTAATTCCAAACTAGAAGAGCTTTTCAAAGACCATATGACAGTCATTTTCTGTCAGCTACTGGCTGGTATTTTGTTAAGCCCATCTCTCCTAGCTCTTTGCACTGAAAAATGCATTCTCAGTAAAAATGTAGGACTATGAATTACAATAAAAATTCTAAAGGCATAAAGTGACCCCTTCCTGGAACGCAGTGAGAGAGTAAAGGTAAATTAATTAGCTACAACTAAGCTACACGCATTTGTGTACAAGTACTGGGGTAATGTTTTTTCATTTAGAAAAATATATTGAAAATGTGTGCAGCCTCCCCTGTTCATTTCTCTGTATCCCTGCAGTACATGCCAGCAGATTATGTTATATAATTAAATTTAACAAAAAGGACCTGAATTGTGAATAAAAACTGGTGTCTTACATGATTTTTTTTCTTGAAAAAGCTCATTTAATTTAGAATTATATATACTATGCTATAGACTGGTGTTGCTTATTTTGTTGGGATGTTATGTTGTTGTAATAGTACAACTGTATGTATAACAATTTACAAAATCAAAATATACTGATTAATTTACAAACAGCAAAATGTTTACATAAACTCTGTAGACTATCTAATATTTCACTTTCTGAGGCATCCTTCCAGTCCATGTAATAAGGAAAAGGGTTTGATTTATGGAACATGCAAATAACAAAGGTTTCAAGATTAGCGTAACTTGAACAGTTAGGTAGATCTTTCAGAAGTTTCAAGAGGAAATAGGTTGTTAGTAGTTAGTTTCTTTTTCTCTCCAAAGCAAGAGTTAAAGAAAATGTTAATGCATCAGTGCACTCAGTCAAAGCCCTTAATATGCTGATATCCACTATAAATATTAAACAGCATGTGACAGAATTAATTAGGTCATGCAGTATAAACTTTGAGAACATGCTCTCTTTCACTGAATTTTGAATGACCATGAGCCACAGTATAACGCAGACAAACATGCAATAAACTATTCCTTTATGTGGTTGAAAAGAACTGGAAACACAATACGTTGCATACCTGATGCAAACAGTTGTTTTACTGTACATTATTCTAAATGTAAATGGTGATATTCAACATAACTGTTAAAGGCACACAATATAAACACCTATTACTTCAGACTTACTAAAAAAACCTTAGAAAAATCAACACGAAATCAGGACAGGTCTTTATTGGATCAAGCGACAGCTCCAACTTCTCTGTTATCTATTTATGAGCAGGTAACAGGTAACTGTTCAGCTTTGTATCTTGTTTAGGTGGTAGTGACCAGCTGACAGCAGACATCCTGAAGATCCTTGAAATGTTTTGATTCCTACTGCAGAGAAGCACCTCAGAACAAGTGTAACACAGCTGCTGGGCTGCATTTTGCAGATATGCTGACCTTGTTGTACATGAACTAATCCTCAAGCTGTGCTCCTCGGTTTTATTGCTCAGATCTCCACTGACTAACCTCTCAAGACCAAAGCATACAAGCAGTACCAATCTGTAAAACTGCTCTTGTGCTAACTGCTAATACACACAACAATTGCTTGCAACACAAGAAACTTAGAAGGTGAATAAAAGCCACACTAAGTATAATTAGCATGTTTTCCTGACTTGAGGATGGGAGTCACACACAGATTTCTCCATTCTAAGGAAATGGTACCCAACTTACAAAGAAAAAAAAAATCAGAAATTGTGAGTCACAGTGAAGAGGACAATCAAAAAAATCACACTAAAGGAACTAGTGACAGCAAAAAACATTTTCAAAGGCATTAGAGGGTATTTATGACTGTACTATAAACTAACATATGTCTTACAGATCATCACAGAAACTTCAACGAGATAGTAAGTTTGAACAGCTAGGAATAAATAAGAGGGGGAAAAAAAAGAGGGAAAACAAAAAGGCAGGCATGGTGCAACTGTATAGATATATTAGTAGGGGCTGCATCTTTTTAAGCATCCTAGTGTATACTGTGCCAAAGAGAAATATATAGAATCATAGAATTGTTTTGGTTGGAAAAGACCTTTAAGATCATCAAGTACAACCATTAACCTAGCATTGCCAAGTCCACCACTAAACCATGTCCCTAAGCACCACATCTACACGTCTTTCAAATACCTCCAGGGATGGTGACTCAACCACTTCCCTGGGCAGCCT